GAAAGGAAAGAAAGAAGGTTGGGCAGTTTGTCCACGTCTGTGCAGCGCAGACTGTTGATAATGGGACTGAGGTTGATGGCAGGCCTGCAGCTTCTTCTCATGGAACAGCTGAAATGTGGCCTAACCACTTGCTCGCGTTCTCATGCAAAGGTTCCGTACAATATAGATGAAAAAAAAAAAAAAAGCTTTGAAAGGATCCTTCAGTTACAGTTACGGCTCTGACACTTTTTTCTAAAATGCATGAAAGAAAAAGACCTTGATTGTAATGTTCAAAGCATCTGGGGTTTCTTTAAAGCCAAAAAACCTCCCTTGAAGCACACATGAGAGCTGAGGAAGACTAAGACTTAATACAAGAATGTTTTGGCTGCAAAATTGTTTGTTGGCTCTGTCCATGCATATTTTTTTCACAAAGTCCCCCACCAACATGTCAGAGATTAGTTAAGAATAATGACCGTTGACTCCTCGCTTTGACCGCTGCATTAAGCTGCATATTTCTACAGAGAAGGGTTTGGATTTGTTGTCAGTCAGATGCACGAGTCCTCGCAAGTACACGTTTCTTGCAGCCACTTGGGAGGAAGGGGAGTCCACGTTCATCTGCTGACGGGTTAAAAAGGCCACACGTGTTTCAAATGTCCTGTGGCCTTGTAAATACCTTGCAGTGATTCATTACTGACAGACGGGGTGCAGAGATAGAAAGGATGAGAGTAGAACGTGGACAAAGGGGATGGTCGTTCTTGGCTTTTTTTATATTGTCTTGTTTCTTTAGCTAAAATGTGAATGAATGTGTTCCTAAAAGGGATTTGATGGTATTTACAATCAATATTGCATTGAATTTAAAAGGTTTATTCAAGAAACTGTGACCAGGAGGAGAAAGTGACAAAGCAAAAATGGAAAAAAAAAAAAAGACTTTACTCTCTTGTGCAAGTTCTGCTTCCTGTCTGGGAATCATTAGGAAAGCTGGGGCCAGGCTTGAGGAGAGGGGAAAATGCAGGGAGGAAGGCGAAAGGACTAGACAAAAAAAAAAAAAAGAGGACACAGAGACATTGACAAGGATGTCGTTGCTGCAGGAAATGTCAACCTCTTTTTTTTTTTTTTCAGTCAGACATGGTGGTTGATGAATCACAGGTTTTCTCAGACACGAGGCATGAGGGTAGGAATGGTAAGCGTAGCATTTAGCATACGTAAATCTTGAAAATACAAATTAAACTTTGTCTCGTCTGCCTCTGCTCATTACTCTTTTATACATTTTTTTGACAACCTAGTATATCAACAGGGTACTGCTGACAAGCATAAGTCTTTTTAAATATGTTGCGACAGCACAGCACCCAAGCTAGCATTAGCCCCAATGATGCTCAAAATACTAATTGTGATACAACAAAGCCCAGCAATGCTTTGTAGGTGGTGCCATGGGGCCACACAGGTTTTGTTGTGTGCTTGTACCTAGATTTGTGCACACTTGAACAACAGTGATTCCCACAATTGGCATTCTCCTTTTCAATACTTCCTTTGTTACTACCTTTGTCCTTAGTCATATCATAGAGCATACCACATTGTTACCATTTCATCTTCCCTTTTGTCTGGGCTAGATGAAAGGCCAGTTGCCGCTGTCAGTAGTTGCCCTCCTCTATGTGTACGATAGGTACATGGAAAGTAGTTGCCCACCTCTATGTGTACGATAGGTACATGGAAACCAGGTCATCAATTTAGGCCAAATAATAATGCTAGTGGTTCTAGATCAGTAGTTACCGGACACATTTCTGGTCATAGACGTTTCTTCACTTCACCAATCTTTACTAAGTAGTTATAATCAAACAAATCAGACATGAAGCCCACATGGTCCAGTCAAGTCCCTGCATGTTGTTCTGACAACCCTGCGGGTTTAGCTTGTGTGTATCTTTGAGAATCCACTTTGTCGGTTCACGTAAGTGCTTCAGGTGTGTCCTTGGAGAGACGTCCAATACTTCAGGCATTTTGTGTCATCAGAGCTGAGGGATGATGAAGAAGCTTAGCAGGATGGTCTTCACAGGTTGATCCTTCGGTGAAGATCTTTGAATTTATCTTGTTTTAACAGCCGGCCATGTGTTTGCTTTTTTGCTCTGCGCTTTGGAGTTGGTCTGACATTTATACGTCCCGCCAGACCTTAGCTGACCCATTATTTCAGCACTTTGATGCTGCTACAAAGCCATGAATTCCCAGCTAGCACAGCCCTCTGGTTTCAGATCCCAAAAAATCCACACAGTCAATAATGTTTATACCCCTTGTAGTTTGTTCTGCAGCTGCGGTTCCATATAAATGGCCCCGACAATTATGAGCTTTTAAAATCCCACATATTCTCTTTTCAAAATGTTTCTTTATCTAATCATTGATATGTCTTGAAACTGTCTCTGTTTCAATGACAAAGTCATTACGTTTCTCCTGTCTCCTTCTTTTTTATCTTTTTCTTCTTCTGGCTTGTGTTATACGTAGCCGGGACGTTCACTTACAAGAGTTGATAGATTTAAGACAGACATCTGAAATCTATACCAGTACCGTGCACATGTGTGCAATACATCTGCTAATGGGCCTGAAGTCATGGGTGAAAGTAGGGAGACGTGGATCAGCAGTTGTCAGTGACACTTGGTGTTATTCAAAGTGTCTGTCAACTGTTTTTGGACATAATTCTAAAGGTTTCAACTCAAGGGGTGAGAAGTTCAGAGTGAAAGGCCTAAAACACTGAAAGAGTCTCTAATGTTGGCAATGAATGTATCAACTATTAGATCAACCTCCTGGCATCTGCACACAGTACCATTAAAGTGAACCATTAAACATCAGCGAGAGCTTGTTTGACCCAAGAGTGTCAAACCTAGAAAAAAAAAATGCCTGATCGTCTTAGCCAAGTCTGCAGACAAGGTTTTCATTGGATTAAGTTTTCAGCCAGGATAAGATAAGAGTACTTGACAGAGCCAAGATTACTCAGTGTTTAGAACCAGAAGAACAACATGTTCTACGGCTCTACTGTATCTTTAGACCCATTTGCTTCTTTCGTTATAGTCAAAGCAACATGTTTCTAAGAGAACAGAGCTGCATCTGTCGTTTAAACATAAATCTTACCCAGCCTTATGTTCAAGGTTCTAGGTTCTGGGATTGGACTGCATTCTTCATTTTGTTTGTCCTTTTTAGCTTTAGCAACGTTACAAAAGCAAAAATAGAAATAATAAGAGACAGATTTATATCCCATTCATTGCCAGTCACATGTGAATGGAGCTGATCTGAAGCTTGGACATACTGTATGGAAGCACTGTAACCACTGAACCAGAGCTGTACAGTGTGTCACAGTGGTGGATGTTGAATATAATTACAGACTGTGATTCTCAATCTTGATCTCCATGACCTGGAGTAACCCTGACCTGGATAACACTTTGTCAGCACATCTTTTTTTTCTTTCCTCGCCTACTCTGTCATTCATAAAGACAGGGACCAAAGACATTGTATTCAATCTCTATCTTCAATCCCAGGTCCTGGAATAGGCAAGTTTTCAAAATTCCACGAAAAAAAAAATTGCCTCAACTTCTTGATCGATGTGGTCAAGATAATTAGCCAGCCACAGGACTCTTGCTCAAAAAACAGGCGTCTTAACACTCTAGTAACAACAATAAGTGAAGGGCGGCATGTTAGTGTTTGCTTGCTAATAGTGACACGATGTAAGTTTGAATTGCAGGACTTAACAACAAAGGACAAGGCTAGCTGCCAACAGTATTAGGATGATGGCCTGTTTGCAACGTACACGCTAAAGGGATTATCTCTTCTTATCTGTTTATTCAATCCATTCAAAAAAGCACTTGTTTTATTCTTTGGAAGAAAATATTTTTTCTTATATGTGCTTTACACTAGTGTGCCGTGAGAAATTATTAGGTGTGCCGTGAAAATTATCCAATTTCACTAAATTGGGCTGAAAACTATGATTTATTTATTGTATATGATTTTTCTTTGGTCGTCAAAGCATGAAAGTTTTGCTAGGTCGCAGCAGATGGCTATGAAAACTAAAAAAAAAAGATAATGCTGTTATGTTTATAAGTGTCTTCAAGTCTTCAATTCCTGCCACTATATCAGCATTGACTTCAACTAAACAGGCTGAGATTTTACTCAATTATGAGGTCATTTAAACTAGAAGATTATTATATTTCATTACATATACTTTTTGTGAGATTTTTGTTTGTTGGTGAGTCGTGGGGTTTTTCCTGGTGATATATATGTCCAGTGGCTCAAAAAAGGTTGGGAAACACTGCTTTAGTGGTATATACTTCTGGTCTACAAGGACCAAGAGGATTGATCGACAGCTTGCTAACAGTTGTTAGCGTATTCTGGGTGTGCAGTAGGTCTAATTGAACATTCTGCTGGTTATGTAGGTTAATAACACATATATAACACGTACAGCAGCATGTTTAAGAATCTACAGAATTCTTGAACATGAAAAAATGTTGGTGTTGTATTTTTTGATTTGCTTGCTAACAACGAAACATTGCTCTGTTTGTTTTACTGATCAGCTAACTGAGCTAAACCTGGAGCACGTTCTGTTACATTTTTGAGTTGTATTCACAGCTAAGATGAAGGCAGCACTCATAATATATACCAACAAAAAAAATCATTATCTCATTTAAACATATGACATTTTACAAAAAATGTCAAAAGGTTCGTTTCATAATATATACCAACAAAAAAAAATCATTATCTTATTTAAACATATGACGTTTTACAAAAAATGTCAAAAGGTTCGTTTCAATAAAATGGATCAGTTAAGTCTAGAGCCACTTTTCAGTCTTTTGGTTTTGGTTCAGTTTCATCATCTCAATCATAATGTTTGGGTCAAGGCTCAGCGCAGACAAACGTCTCCCAAATCATTTGTTAGCAGCTGTGGCTAAAATCCGCCCTTCAATTATTGTGGCACCGAGGAGGAAGGAGCAAGTTCTGGCTTTACGCTTTGACAAGCAGATTGCTAGGTCTCCGAGACTGGCCGTGTGTGTATGCATGTGTGTGTGTGTGTGTGTGTGTACATCTCTTTACTAAAGGTCAGGGAGTTTTTTTGGATGTGAAAGAGAGATTTAAAGAAAAAAGTATAAAGGAGAGTGGGTAAGCGATCGTGTGAGTGTGCCAGTCAGCTGGGTTGTGGTTGTGTGCTTGAAAGTTCCACCAGTCGCTCGGGATTCTCTCTCCATAGCCTTGTTTTCCCGACAAACTGCGACACCAAGAAGTTCTTGGCAAACCTGCGATCATTCGTCCTGTGATTCATTACCGTAGAACAGAAGAATGTAGTACTCGCCTAAAGCAGACAACAGTGGCAGCCATGAAATGTCTCCTGCGTATTGCCCTGAGAGCTAATGCAGATGTTCCTGATTCAGTCGGTGCTGTTGTTTTCTTTCACAACCACAAAGATTTTTGGAATTGAAAGCAGACTCACGAAACTACTGGTGAATCATGTTACAATGATCAAGCTTACAGAATGTATGTGCATTGGATGTAAAACAGCTCCAATTACGTTTTAGCTAACAGTCACTTGGTCCATCAACAGTAGCAATAATTAAATACAGTCTGTTTCTTATAGCCAGAATTTTTGCCACGTTTGAGTAAAACCTACAAATGGCTCAAAAAGATGTTTCTGTCTCTGTAAAGACTGTGTTAGATGCATTCTGTAAAGTTACAAAAGTGGTGTTAAATGTGAGCGAATGTGCGAACTGGCAACATTTAGGTTTTCTTTTAAAACGTATAATTTTGCTTTATTAAGCTTAAGCAGTTACTCTACTGTATTCTAGAGTAAATTTAATGTCCAATGAATTTTGGTCATGAATCTTAATCCTCTTGGCTGAGATTCAGCATTTTATGCTACATTTTGGGTGCAATTTTTGAACTATCCTGGTGTTACCCTGGCTATTTGAAGTCCATCCATCATCGTCCACTTTTAGATATCGTACTGTTTTATTTATTTTGTGTTATGTGTCAAAGTGAACGTCCTTTGTAGGCTTTTGTAATCCTCAATTTTATTTTCTCAATCACCCTACAACACAGTAAATCTAAAAGTCAGACCGCAGTAGAACCAGCTTCTGTATAATGTGTCATTTTGTTTTGCATCTGTTACATTTCACCTTCTGCTGAAAATGTCAACATTTCACCAGGATTTACTTCTACACCCAAGTGTTTAACTCTTTAGCCTTTGACCCACACCTCTGGCCTCCGACCTTTGCCTCTCTGGACATCAGTCAGTGTCAGTCTCTTACATTATGTCCGTCGGCCCTTTGCCTCTAAACCACTGCCATCTTTGAAATCTTCCCTCCTTCTACTTTGCTGCAGATAATTACATTCAATTAGAAACACATAGTTATATAAAACAGTTTGAACACAATTCAGAGAGACTATTTTGGATCTGTATCCGCCCAAACCTTTGAACTGTGTCCTCTGCTCCTTCAGGCTTCCTGCTAGCAGCACCATGAGGTCCGCCTGTCTCTCTCTACTCCTGGTCACCGCCTGCTGGGCTCTGCCATTTCGCCAGTCTGGCTTTCTAGACTTCATGATGGAGGATGAGCCAGGATCGGGCCGGCCCGATGTTCCAGATGTTACAGTGCACACCGGCCCTATTAGGCCTGAAGCACCAAGGTGTCCATTCAGATGCCAGTGTCACCTCCGTGTGATCCAGTGCTCTGACCTCGGTGAGAACAAATACCATACATAAATATGAATTGTTTTTTGGGTTTTGTTGTTTTAGCCTGTAGTAATGGTTAAATATAATCCTGAATTGTTTTTTTGGGGGTTTTTGGGTTTTGTTGTTTTAGCCTGTACACTAAGCTAGGATACACACATAAGACTGTATTTTCGTTTACTTTATGGCCTAATGACATAAACTTAGCTTTAGCTGCAAAAATACCCAAAAATAATGAGATAACAGTTAGCTAATACAGTTACCAGAACCAAACAATAACAACAAGAAGTTAGCCAAAAAGTATGAACAAAGAGAATTGACTGTACTTTAATCAATTTATTTGTCGGGAAATGTATTAGATTTATCAAATAAAACAAAACAAGTTACCAAAAATAGTAAAAATGGCTAAATCCTCACCAAAAATGAAAAAAGTCTAAATAAAATGCTAACAATGCTAATAAAACGCTAGCATTAAAAAAAAGATGCTGTTTAAATTTTAACGTAATGAAGTACTTCTAAATGTTTTTGTAGAATTTTAAAATGTGAATCCTGTTGTTCACAGGTTTAGGCACTGGGCTGGTTTTCAAAAATCTGCTGAGGTCACATGTGTGTCTGCCTGCAAAAGCCAAACTGTACCTTTATTGTGGTGAATGACACCACTGCTTTTTAGGTCATTGACTTTACAAGCCGGTCTGTCTCCACCACCCACCCAAACCCACAGGGTCACTGAAGGGGTGGATTATGTTACGCATTAGTGTGAAGTCCCCCAGAGAACATGACGCCAGCTTAGATAAGTTAAACACTCACAGATGTTCGGTGCTTTTTTTTTTTTTCACTTCCTGTCACAATTACACTATTTCCTCTCTGTGGGCAAAAAGTTTTCTCAAACAACAGCAGAGCTTAAATGACAGCTTGGAAAAGTCGTGAACAAATCACCTGGTCTGGTCCACAGCCTCTCCTCGCTCTCAGATGACAATTCATCAGCATTTTGTTCCAGTTCAGTCACAACAGTTTACTCTAGGTCATCCTCAGTGTCTGGACCTTATCATTTCTGTTTGTCCAATCTGAGAAGAGCCTGACTCATCTGTCAAACTTTGCCACGGAAGAGTCCTCGACCTCATCTCTTGTGGTATATCACACCAAAACTGCTTGGCTGCAGAGCGGTTGGTTTTGATTGTTTTCTGGCACGACTGTGTTTGTAAAAGGAGGGGCCCCTCAGCTCCAGTGAGATGAATGAGGGTGGGACAAAACTAGGCATATTGTCAGAGGACACTATTGTATTTTGGAGATTGTTTTATAACTATTTGGGCAATTAGCGAAACAGCATTTAGAGAAATATGGACTTAGAGAGTCAGAAAGGACAGAGAAGATTAAATCAGTACAGAAAACCTTGAAGAAAAATGACATTGACAGGAGGTAAATCAGCCTTATACAGAAAACAAATCTGGAGCTCATCAGACATATACAGTAAGTTTGAAGATGGAAGGGAGAGGCTTAGAACCTGAAGAACAGTCTTGGTAGTAAAATTAGAAGTTGCTGTGGAGATGCTTGTGGAAGTCCTGCCACAGAGAGGAGCAATGAAAAACATGACTTTATTTGTAGTGTTTTTCTTCCAACACACCACCAATAGAAGACCATTAGAAGTTCTAATTTTGTTGATTGCATCATCTCTAACAAAAGTCTATCTTAAATCACTCTGTTTAGATACTAAAGATCAGTGTCCGTGCCAGAACACTGCCAGGTTTGCAAACGTTAGAGAGATCTAACTGAGATGATTCAGAAAACCTGCTTTTAAACCTCACAGAGAAGTAGAGTATGTTCAGAAACACGTTGTTGAAAACTCTCCTCACTCTGTATATAAGGAAGGAGGACTTCAGCTGCAACAGATGGTCAGGTAGCTGGAAAATATGAGCAACACAAATGGGGTCATTTGGAGAGAGCAATGTTCCGGAAAGGAGCGGTCCCATGACATCAGCGCCGCGGACGGGCCCCCACCAGGAACATCATCAGCGGGAGCGCGAGTATGAGTAGCAACACTTTGACTAAAATGATGCCCATTGGTGGGATTCTCAACTTCTGCATCAGCTCTGATGGACCCCAAGCCTCCATCTGTTCTCCAGACCTGCTGGCACGGACTCAAACACACACCCGGACACACAGGCGTATACATTTTCATACACACACACACGGTCAAGGCAGAAGGAGTCTACTCACCATCACGATTCTTTTCATCCTTTGTGGAAAGATGGGAGACACAGCAACTGGCAGGATGACAACAACAAAAAAAACACTTTTTTACCAGAAGTTCTGACCACAAACTTTCTCTGTTGTGGCTGTGAAGTGAGCTGATGGTGTGTTTAGTCACATCCAGCCCACGTTTTTAATGACCAACAAAAAAACTACAATTTTTTTGTGTACAAAACTCTAAAGCAATCCTGTTTTTGGCAACAATCAGATCAGCAGTTCTGGTTGGGAAGAAAACACAAAATAGTCTCTAACAGTGTTTTTCAACCTTGGGTTCACGCCCCCAAATGGGTTCCCCTGAAATGTATTACACTTGGTAAAATAAAGTTGAAGTGCAGAGGTATCTGACAGAACTAGACCACAGAGGGAAATTAAAGCAAACGATGCTTTCACTGTCCTAGAAAAAGTGATCTATCTGTCACCCTTCCCACAGCCTGATCCTTCAATTTAGGCAAAATAACAATAATTAAGGGGAAAAAAAGTTGTGAAAACAACTGTATTCAATGGTGAGAAAAAGTGTGCTTCAATCTGCTCCAGCTCTGTTTGGTTTACCATTCCCACAAAGATGGAAAGAGATTAAAATAAGAATTTTCCAAATTGCAGCAGGAAATGATGTGAAACCTAAAATCTGGAGGAGAACAATGAAAAAGAATGCGCAGTGTGCACCGATGGAGCTATACAATACTGTACGTAATGTGGCGATCCAAAGATGGTGGTGACCACAAACAGCTGTGATGGTCTGTGGCTCGTCCACTGCTGAGTTGGGAAAAAGCTGACATGAAAGAAAACCTAGCTGGAAGCAGTGCTTGGGTGAGCTTGAAAGAAGTTGTCGCAAATTTTTTTGGAACAGAATCTGTCCACATTTACAGACGATGATGAATGTGAACGTCTTTGTTAAACAGTTTATCCTACGCTTCTTCCTCTGAAATCGAACCTGCACATTATGAATCCCAGTGTATTTTCTTGTGTCACCACTGACGGTTAGAATGTACACAATCTCTCCCAGCAGGCATCACTCACTTCGCAAAAATAGATGGGTTTTTTTTTTCAGTTTTTAGCCTGTGATGTGTGATGTACCTGAAGTCCAATCAAAACAATTTTCTTTAGCTCAAACTCCAGCTCTGCAGCTGTTTTTTCTATTCCAAAGAAAATTTGTTCAAGGGTTCGTTTTTACCAAATCTGCACTAGAGTTCATCAAATAGTCATTTGCTCCATTTGGGTAAAAACTCACTCTGCAAAAAGTCCCTGTCATTGATACTTTATGTACCATGGAGTATACTCCATTTCCTGCCCCTTTAGGTTTGATACAGTCCTGCTTGACTCCAGTTTTCCAGTCTCTCAGCTGAATGCCCGTGACATAACACCGTAGTAAATCAAAAACTAAGCTTTGAATTAACAAAACCTTTCCTAGACTGCGGCCAGCGTGTCCGTTGTGTACTTTTGTAGCCATGCGTAGCTGCAGTACGACATTGGCCAAATATCACTACTCCCCACATGTTGTCTCTTCCCTTACATGGGTTTTCGTGATGATCCCACTTCCCGGTCTTTTTGTACCTTTTAAAAAGGTTTCATCGAAAACTGATGGATGGTGACCCAGTCTTGTCTCCTAAACCCTCGGAAGAAATCACATTTTCTTTTGTCATTGGTGGTGGGGCACCACATAGGGCACCTGACACCTCTCTTGGTGCAGCCCTTCCTGTCAAACCCCAGTTGGAAACATCAGTTTATGGCTAAGGGATGTTCAGTCTGCAGCTGGATTTCAATACAGGCCGACTGGTTGGAAGATGACGTCTCTACTCACTGGGCCAGAGCAGATGCTTAGCCAATGACGGCGACACATAAAAATAGACTGTGACAATTAGCTTTTAGTCTGCTACAACCGGGGAACAGACCGTAGACTCAACAAGGATGAAGTAGACGAGGTAAAAAAAAACAAAAAAAAAAACATTTGTACCCATTTCCTGATGTGGTCAGATTGTGGTAAACTTTCCACCACCTGACCCAACACAGACTTGTCACCACCTTTTTTTTCCCTCATCATTCATCACACTGATGGAATTTCACAACATACCACATAGTGTAGCCCGACTTAAACTTAATTTTAAAAAGTATTCTTTGCTCCTCAGGTCTCAAGTCCGTCCCTGAGGACATTCCTGATGACACCACCCTGCTAGACCTGCAGAACAACAAGATCACAGAGATCAAGGAGAACGACTTCAAGAACCTCAAAGGGCTGCACGTAAGAGCCCTTCTCTTTCTCCCCTCCCTCCGTAGAAATGCGTGAACACTTCAGCGTGCATCGTTCATGATGTTATATAATGTCGTCTTATGTAAGCTCTGCTCTCACCGCAATGAAAGTGTACTAATCTCCAACTGGAAAAGGTCTTAAATGCAACCCGTTTGTTAGACATCTCTCTTGCCGTTGTTGCAGAGGCATGAAGACGATGTACAGGCATGTAGTGTAGCGTGTGTGTCTACGATGTGTGTGTCCCGAGATTACAACCATCTGTGATTAGGGTGTTGTCAAAACACTGTCAACCAATAAGCAATGGTGCTTGAAGCTCACGGCAACTTCCATCCGAGCGTCCTGCTCCTCCCCCACCTCCTGCTCTTTTACTCACCCACAGCCTTCCACCGTCACCAACACACTCTGAGACAGTCAATCCCAGCCACTCCACTTGTCCCCCCAGTCGCCAGGTGCGTGGAAACTTAACCCGCGAGCCGCCTCACAACCACACCTCCAAATTTCTGCAGCTTTCAGACCTGTAATAAATACGTCTGCCAGACAGCCGTAGCTGTTTCCACT